TGCTGTTTGCTCGGGGATTCCCCCCTGGCCCACCTGGATAGTACCCTCCAAAGCCCAGCTGGGGAGGTGGACACAGGGACTGAAAGGAAGGGGTGTCTGTTCAGCAGGAGAGTGGGATCTCTCTCAACACAGGGTCCTAAGCTGGAGGACCTGGAGACTGTGACCCCACTGGGGATCCAGGAACTGTTAAAAGGTGGAAAAAACACCAGATGGGCCCAGACGCCCTTCTCTGTGGCAGAAGTTCCTCAGCTTTCACCAGGTTCAGGCTGGTTCAGGGCCAGAAGGTGCACATGTATACTCAGGGGGCAGCCTCCAGCTAAAACCTGAACCCCAAGGGATGGAGTGACTTATTAACAAAGGCCAGGTGCATGGGGGTCCTCCCTGTGAGTATGCATTCTCCCTGATTTGGAGTTTGGGGAGGGGGAACTACTAGGAGAGAAGAAAGCTACTGTCTTCAGGGCTGGGAAGAATCGGGAGGTCAAGGGTTGGGGGGCTGGGAAACACGTTACCTTATAAAAGACCTCACCCTGGCTGGTTTTACTCAGTGGTTAGAGCGTTGGCCTGTGGACCAAAGGGTCATGGGTTTCATCCCTGGTCAAGGGTGCCTACAGGTTCGATCCCTAGTCACCAGTCTCTCTCACATCATCAATCTTTCTCTTTCCCTCTCCCTTCCACTCTATTAAAAAAAAAAAAAAAAAAATCCATGGAATCCAGCTGGTCATTGTTTCCATTCAATCCCTAGCAAGGAGATTGTACAGGAAGCAGCCAATTGATGTTGATGTTTTTCTCTCATCTATTGATGTGTCTCTCTCCCTCTCCCTTCCTCTCTCTAAAATTAATTTTAAAAAAATCAACGGAAATATATGCTTGGGTGAGGATTAAAAAAAAAGACCAGGGCCCTGGCTGGTTTTGCTCAGTGGTTAGAGCGTTGGCCTGCGGTCCAGAGAGACCTGGGTTCAGTTCCCGCTAAGGGCATGCACCTCGATTGCGGTTTGTCCCCGGCCCTGGTTGGGTTGTGTGGGTGGCAGCCACTCGATGTGTACCTTTCACATCGATGTTTCTCTCTCTCTCTCTCTTCCTCTCTCCCTCCCACTCTATCTGAACAAAAAAAAAATGAAAACTGTCCTCGGGTGAGGATAAAAAAAAAAAAAAAAGGAACTAGATTTTGAAGGTTCACAGGAGGGGATTTTTTTTCTTCCATTACAATCTAAACTCCACTTATGAGATAAGAAACATCCTCTGCCTACCCACAGCTCAGCCAGGCAGAGGTGAAATAATTATGAGTAGGTGAGAGATACTGGGCAGAATCTCCTTGGTTTCCCTCCCATCTCCAGCTCTCTCTCCTCACCTTGGGTCTCAAAGAGAGTGGGAGTACCTTTTCATCTCCCTTTGTTGAGGTCCACCAAGGACTAGGACAAGTGGAAAGTAGAAACTGAATATTAACAACTTGGGGGCAGTCATCTCCTCTCAAGCAAATGGCCCATGGTGTGGTAGTCAAGGGTTGACAGGGTAAGACTCAGCTAGAGAAGGACTATGAGTCCCTGCCAACAAAGGCAAGAGGAGGTCCTGCTCCGCTGACTCTCAATTTGAATAGAGTCAAGATCTGGTTAAGATCTAAGACCACATAGAGCCCACAAACTGCTTTTAGGGTGAGAACTCAATAGGTCTCACACACTATGGCCAAGATGTCAAGAATGCAGGTTCTGAAGGCAGACTGCCTGAATTCAAGTCCTGATTCCAGCTCTTACCAGCTGTTTGATATTGAATAAGTTCCTTAACCGTTCTGGGCTTCCAGTTCCAGTTCCAGCTGAAGCTATTAACTTACCTCAAAGTATTGCTTTAAGGATTAAATATTAAGAGACGTGCTCATTGCTTGGCCAGAGTGGCTCAGTGGTTGAGCACTGACCCATGCACCAAGAGGTTGCCGGTTTGATTCCCAGTTAGGACACATGCCCAGGTTGTGGGCCTGATCCCCAGTGGGGGGCACGCAGGACGTGGCCAATCAATGTCCTCGCTCATTGATGTTTCTCTCTCTCTCCCTTCCTCTCTCTCTAAAATCAATAAAGAAAAACAAAACAAAAAGACATGCTCACAACAGTGCCTGGTACTCAGTGAACACTCACATTTGCCAAGTCTATCATGGCAACTCAAGGACTCCAAAACAGAACCATAAAAAAACCTACTTCACTGAGATTTTTCTGTTTAGAATAACAAGGATGAGAAGTAAAAGAGGGAAAGACTGCCATAGAGCTTGAGCTGTTCCCTAGGTGGAGGCTCTTGAGGCTCAGCAGCCACACTGGTGTCAGCAGTCTCTCTGGTCCAGTGAGTGCTGTGAAGGCAGGCAGGGGGCTACATAAAAGTAAACCAGGACCAGCATAAAGATCAGGATAGGGGTGCTGAGCTAGACACAAACCTCCATTAACTGCTGGTGGTCAGAGTGACAGTGACAAAATAAACAGAACTGTTATCAGAGACCAAGTAAACACATGGGACTCAGCTCCAACAAGCAGTGACAATGACTCAGAAGGGGAGAGGCCTTCAGCTTGTTCAAGCCAGTCTGTGTTCCAGACAGCATGACACCCTTATGGGCGCTCAGGAAATGCTAAAAACTCATGAGGAATAAGCCCCACCTGCTCCTGTAGCACACTGACAGGCAAGGCTGCACCTCCCAGTGCTGCCACAAGGCTCCCTCAGATGGTTTTAAAAGATCCTTGTTCAAAAGCAAGAGGACCAGTGCTTGCTGAGCTGGTCAGCAGTGGACGATGGGCAACATAACTTAGGTGTGACTATTTCTTCACTCCAATACCTACAACGGTTTAACAATGGGGAAGAGTGCTGCAGACAGGCCAGCGAACCTCCCCTCCCCATAAATTCCCAGGTGTAAAGTAACAGAATTGGCTTTTGCTGAAGGTGTGTATGTGTGTGTATATACACAAGGTTGTTTTTTTTCTTTATTGATTTTAGAGAGAGAAGGGGGAGGGACAGATAGAAACATCAATGAGAGAGAACATCGATTGGCTAGCTCCCACATGTCCCCCGCTGGGGATTTGGCTCACAACCTGGGCATGTGCCCTGACCAGGAGTTAAATTGGCAACCTCTTGGTGCATGGTTGAGGCTCCACCACTGAGCCATACTGGCTGGGCTATATATACTTTTAAAAAATATGTATTTTGGCCCTGGCCAGTTTGGCTCAGTGGTTGAGCGTCAGCCTGCAGACCGGAGTCCTGGGTTTGGTTCCCGCTAGAGGCATGTACCAAAAAAATATATATATATGTCTATATACACACACACACAATTTTTTTTTCCATTTTTTGTTCAGATAGAGTGGGAGGGAGGGAGAGAGAGAGAAACATCAATGTGAAAGGGACACATCGAGTGGTTGCCACTCGCACGACCCAACCAGGGCCAGGGACAAACTGCAACTGAGGTACGTGCCCTTAGCGGGAACCGAACCCGGGTCTCTCTGGACCTCAGGCCGATGCTCTAACCGCTGAGCCAAACTGGCCAGGGCCACACACACATTTTTTTATTGACATTTTAGAAGAGGTAGAAACATCGATGAGCTGCCTCCTGCACGCCCCCTACTGGGGATCAAGCCCATAACCCAAGCATGTGCCCTGACCTGGAATCAAACCAGGACCTCGCAGTCTGTGGGCCTATGCTCAATGCACTGCGCCACACCGGTCAGGATGAAGCCTTTATTGTTTTTTAAAATCCTCACCCAAGGATGTTTTCCCATTTATCTTCAGATAGAGTGGGAATGAGAAAGAGAAACATCAATGTGAAAGCAACACATCGACTGGTTGCCTCCCACATGACCCTGACCAGGACTGGGGCCGAACCACAACCAAGGTATGTGCCCTTGATCAGAATCAAATCCGCAACTCATTGGTCCACAGGCCAATGCTCTAACCACTGAGCAACCAGTCAAGGCAGGTTTTATTTTTAATGAAGCCACACAGGATTATCATGGGATATGCAATAGGGGATTATCAGCTTAACTCCCACGAGCTTGTCACTTTTCTTAACCTCCTGCCATCCAAAATAGATCCACATTTACACTTTCAAACATCTGAGTGTATACAATGAGAACTAAAAGCTCTGTTGAAGATAAACATCTCACTGTTCTGCAGAGATTTTCCATTATAAATACCTAACAATTAATAAAAGCTATGTGCCCAGTGAGACAATTCTGGTTGGGGGTACTGTGGTCCCTGTTGGGCGCTAGCCCATGGATGGGGTGGAGACTAAACACTCACTACCTGGTTTAGTGTTGAGGCCCCAAATGATATCGTACATCTGTCACCCCTCATCAACTTCTCTAGGGCAGACTGGCCCAGCTTCTGTTCCCCTACACTTGGCAGAGCTTGAGGTACTGATACCAACCCTTTTTGAGCTGAGATCCTGAGGTCAAAGCTTTTCATCAGCTCCTACTCTGAGCTCTGTGGCCCATCCCCTGCCATGGGGAACCCACTCCCTTTAGTGGATCATGGAGGCTGGACCAAGAGATGTCCATCCACTTACACTTTCAGGGAGTTAAAACTTGTGGCAGGGTACACTTAGTATCCATCATCTGCCAAGATCATCTCTCACCTGCTTAAGAGAAGCGACCACATAGCCTGCCTGTACCTCAGGCCTCTACCACCTGAGGCCATGCAGGTGGACCCCTCTGCACCTCTCATTAGGCCAGAATCATACAAGACAGTATTTGGAGCACTTGTTAATTTGTTATGATTTATTAGCTGTACAGCAGTAGATCCTCCTCCCCAGCTTTCAACCCCATTACATATTTTATTACAGGTCTCATGTTGGTGTCCTAAAATAATGAAAAATATCACACAGTACAGCTAAGTACAAAATGCATCAACCTAGAGTTTGATAGCTAACTGATGGCTCTCTTAAAAGCAATACACAGAAGAAAAAGTGTTTGAAATCAACAAGACTGAGGCTCTCTAAAAAAACACATTTTAAACATGTGACAGTTCATGTGCAAGAATCATTTTTAGTTGGTTTTGCTTCACATTATTACTTTTTTTTTTTTTTTTAAGATCCAAAGTTTAAATTACTGACCTAGTGAAGTTTTCTGGCCCAGCTTTTAAGGGCTGCTGTGACCCACTCATAATCACCCTTCTGCTTTAACAGGATTTATAAAACACAAAATTCAGTTACAAACAGAGCAGAGAAAATGTGGATGGGAAACCATAACTGAAAGTTAATCGTACAAGGTTCAAATGCTGGCTCCATGGGCTGGAAATCACGATCTTCTTCATGGACATCAGTCTCTAGCAGGCAGCAGTCTGGGTGCTGTTCTGCTACATGATTGTGATCCGATTCCTTGTCAACATTTACACACTACACAGTCTGTGGTAACTTAATTTGCAAGTAATTAAAACGCTGGGTTTTCTTACACTGCACTTCTTTTCAACCTCTTAATTAATGGAAAAGATTAAAATGTAAAAAAAGTTATTTACAAGCTTGACCATACCAGAAACTTTGCCAAGAAAGAGGCAAAGCCTTCAGGACAAAAACCGATCGTAGCATGCCATATTATTGGTGTGCAGCCGACTCCAAGCAAAGGGAGTCAGGGAAAAAGCAAAAGCAAAAACCAGTTTAAAAGTCTAAGTCCTTCCCAAGACTGCATTTACAATTAAAAACTCTCCTGGGAAGACCATAGAACTCTGGGAAACCCGTTGGCCATTCTGGAGTGGTTTACCATAGCAAGAGAGAGGGTCCAATGTCTCTGTTTCCATCTAAGAAAACCAGTTAGGCGTCAACACTGTCCTCAGCACTTCAGGGTAAACCCTCAGAGACTCAGAACATTCCATGATTTGCTAATATCAAATGGTAAGTTCTAGTTAAATCACATTTTTCTAACATCATCCTTGAAGTTTTAGTTCTCAGTATGTTTGGTAAAATGGTGCTTTTCCCAAAGCCAAAAGAAGAAAAAAAGGAGAAAAATTAAGATGCAGGCCGTTTAAACACAGCCCAGAGCAGTCTTGGCGATGACAAGGCCCTGCCATCACCGGTCCATCATGCTGAGAATCATCTCGGGGGTGAGGTCTCCATTGGGGGCGTCTGTGGCAGCTGGCTGGGCCTCCTCTTCCTCTCCCTCCACGGGCTCTGTATCTGGCTCTTTTTTGACTTCAACTATAATGTTCTCAATTGCACCTGTATTCTGATCTTCAACCTGAATGATAGCTGTTGCTGGCAAAAAAAAAAGGGCACGAACAAAACAAATGCTCCATTAAAGCCCCCAAAGATTGCAAAGGTCCCTCCAGACTTGACACTAAATGGAAAAGAGCAATATAGGAAAGCCTCAGTAGCGATACAGAAGCAAGTCAATAAAGACTTAATTATCTAAAATGTGGCCACACATAATGCTCCAATACTCTTATCACGGAACAAAATGCTGGCATTCACTTTCATATGCTTCCCAAATTAGGTACTAGAAGTCTTAGTTTTCCTTTATGTCATAAATTTGGTCTTTACAATAGTCTGAGACAGGCAAAAGATGTAGACAGCATGTGACTAGGATCATGGAATGTGTGATGTAGGTCTGTTTTAGAGGTGATCCATTTATGGTAAGAACCTGACATTTTTTTTGTTTTTTATTCTGAAGCTCTCCCACACCCAGGGCCCTTTCTCCAGTTTGTTCACTTAGATGTACGTGGGGGAAATGGTTCCCAGGATCTATAGCTAATCAGCCCACTGTGACATACATGAGGCTCAGTAAACACATTAACACTTTTTCTTTTTTTTTTTTTTTTTATCCTCACCCGAGGACATTTTTCGATATTTTGTTCAGATAGAGGGAGAGGGAGAGAGAGAGAGAAACATCGACGTGAAAGGGACACATCGAGTGGTTGCCACCCACACGACCCAACCAGGGCCGGGGACAAACTGCAACCGAGGTACATGCCCTTAGCGGGAACCGAACCCGGGTCTCTCCGGACCGCAGGCCGACGCTCTAACCGCTGAGCCAAACCGGCCAGGGCCACATTAACACTTTTAAAAAATTGATTTTAGATAGCGAGAAAGGGAGAGATAGAAACATTGATGAGAGAGAACATCAACTGGCCGCCTCCTGCATGCCCCGCACTGGAATTTGGTCCACAAATTGGGCATGTGCTTGACCTGGAATCGAACCGGCGACCTCTTGGTACATAGGTCGACACTCAACTAATGAGCCACACTGGCCAGGCTCAGCAAACACATTTTAAAAAGCAGATTAAACCCTGCCTTTGTTAAAGGAAAAAAACAAAACAAAACAAAAAAACACACCAGCTTTCAGGAGATCTAGAGCAATATAGGAGAAGAATAGAGACCTGAGTTCCCAGAGCCTGCTGTCACAGGGCTGTGTCTCGTTATAGGACTGCTGCCTACGGTCATATGTGATGTGAAGTAAAGGGTAGACACCTCCCCTGTGTCCTTCTCATAAATCAGAAGGCCATAACTATCCATAGGTCAGGATTTCTTAAAAGGAAGAACAACCTCAGCACAGAAATTTCTTTCTCTCTCCATCCTTTAAAGTTTGGCTCTTTCACATTAACACATCGATTCTGCCAGCTGACTGACTTTGGTTATTTTTTAAAACCTCCCATATTAACAGTACTCATCTTGTAGAACATAAGTACCCCTCTATGCTAAACTTTTTAAAATCCTTACCCAAGGATATTTTTCAATTTTATTTTCAGACATGGGGGGAGAGTGAGAGAAAGAGAGATGTGAGAGAAACACATCGACTGGTTGCCTCTCGAACAACCCTGACCATGGCCAGGGATGAACCACAACCGAGGCTCAAACCTGCGACTCTTTGGTCCAAAGGCTGGCACTCTAATCCAGTGGTTCTCAACCTGTGCGTCGTAACCCCTTTGGGGGTCGAATGACCTTATCACAGGGGTCGCCCAAGACATAACAGTAGCAAAATTAAAGTTATGAAATAGCAACAAAAATAATTTTATGATTGGGGTCACCACAACATGAGGAACTATATTAAAGGGTCACGGCATTAAGAAGGTTGAGAACCACTGCTCTAACCGCTGAGGCAAACTGGCCAGGGCTCTATGCTAAACTTTTATTCATTGAAATATAACAGGCCACAGATGTTCCCTAGTAAAAGCTAAAAGAAACTGCTTCCTGACAGTTTGTTCCTGGCACTACCCTAACTTGTTCTTATGGCTTATAGTTCCCATCTTCCCCCCAAACAAGGACCTGCCTGGCTTCCCCACATGCTGGGAGATGATGCCAGCCAGTAACTGAGCTGAGACAAGTAACTTACGCTGAGTCTGTTTGGGTTGGTTGGTTCTGCCAGGGGGGCGTCCTCTCCGCTTCTTGGCGGGTGGTGGGGCTGGGGTCACAGGCTGAGGCTCTGGTTCAGGTTCAATTTCCACAGCAGGCTCCTCTTCATCCTCATTGTCATCCAGGTCTGGCTCAGCATTTTCTTCCCATGAAATCAGGGAGAACAGGTGGTGGAAGGAAAAAAAAAACCAAAAAAACACAAATAATCACATACTCTGTTAAGTTTGTTATGTATTTAATTTTATTGTTAAAAGCCCATTTAAAAAATGCTTTTGATGAAATTTTTGCTATTGGCCATAACAGAGTAAACTGGTATTGTGGCAGGATTAATAAGCAAATGAGCCTCACTACTGTTAATCATATTTTACATGGACTAGATATTTTTTCTTTAGCTTTAGACATCAGAATATTGAGTTTCAAATTCTTAGAGGCAACTCCATCTTAAGCCAGTCATACAGATGTGGTCCTGCTTGAGAGAGAGAGAGAATGTGTCAGGGAGCAAGTCAGAAGCTCCTAATGTACTGTGAGGTCCTGCTTACCAGGATAAGCAGCAAGAGTTCTTTCAGGAGTATTATTGATGGGTTTTTTTTCCCCCTTAATCCTCACCCGAGGACATTTTTCCACTTTTTGTTCAGATAGAGTGAGAGGGAGAGAGAGGAATAGAGAGAAACATCAATGTGAAAGGGACACACTGAGTGGCTGCCACCCATACAACCAACTAGGGCCGGGGACAAACTGCAACCGAGGTATGTGCCCTTAGCGGGAACCGAACCCGGGTCTCTCTGGAGTGCAGGCCGACGCTCTAACCGTTGAGCCAAACCGGCCAGGACTGATGGGCTTTTTTAAAGCCAAATTTTTGGACTTAATTTCCAGCTTAAGTACCAAGCCAAAAGGTCATCCTTAACTCCCTCACTTTGTCCCTAATGTCGTAATCACATAAAAGAAGGAATTATTGTAGAAAGAATATTGATGAGGAGCCTGATAATATGGTTTTGAACCCCAGATTTCTTACTAGGTATGAGACCTAAGACAATGACCACACTGGACCTCAGTTTCCTTGTGTAATTTCTAAAGCTCTCAACCTACTTACTAGTGATTTGAGGATCAAGAGTTGAGATAACACATGTAATCATGCTCTGTAACTTACACTTTACTACACAAACACAGTTAGATGTATTGACACTGTACAACACAATTTAAAATTTCTCTGTTATTCCATTTAGGCTTCATTATTTTATTTAATGAGAGGTGTTACCCTCATTTTATTTTATTTTATTTTTTATCCTCACCCGAAGACATTTTTCCGTTTTTTTTTTTTTGTTCAGATAGAGTGGAAGGAAGAGGAAGAGAGAGAAACATCGACGTGAAAGGGAGACATCGAGTGGCTGCCACCTGCATGACCAACCAGGGCCGGGGACAAACTGCAACCGAGGTACATGCCCTTAGCGGGAACCGAACCCAGGTCTCTCTGGACCACAGGCCGATGCTCTAACTGCTGAACCAAACTGGCCAGGGCATCATTTTATAGAAGAAGTGAGAAGCTAAGTGATTTGTAAGGCACAGCTAAGCTAGAGCAGATGGAAAGCAAACTTCTAACCTCAATTTGGGGCTGTTCTGCTGCCTACCCTGCAGGCAGCCAAACAGCTCTTGTCCCTCCCTCACTACCATGGCACAAAATGTACTCTGCCTGCCTTCCTCCAGGAAGCACAGGTTACAAGTACATTCTCTTTCTCTGGAATAAATGTTCAAATTTAGAAATCTGGGTAAATGCCTGATCTTCAGAAAAAAATAGCTTATTTATCAAGTGATTGGAATCCTAAGTGAAATGTGGGGAACACATTCATATGTGGTGTTGTGTCAAGAGCTTCCCTGACACCCCCCCTCTTGCCTAAGTTGGCCCAATGCCTAGAAAACTAAATTTGGTCAGAATTGGGGGAGAAAGCACACACAAAAAAGTTAATAGGGTCAAAGGCTTATTGGCTTGGAGAAATTTTGGCAAAAAGCCTTGAAAATAACAGTAAATTCTGCTGGACAATCTTTGCAGATGGCCCACAGGCAGAACTTCTGGGAGGGGATAAATGTGACTGCTTGGCCTTTGTAAGCAGTGAGATGGAAAACCCAGACTGAGGGGGTGGGGAGAAACTAGTACTAAATATGAGGCCCAGAACCAAACTGTGCTTTACAAACTAGCAGTGTAAAAGACAAGAGGAGGAACTGTAGAAATGTGTTAAGAATTCTTCAGCTAAAAGATGTTTCTGGCCTGGCTGGTGTGGCTCAGTGGTTGAGCATCCACCCAGTTCGATTCCCGGTCAGGGTACATTCCCAGGCCAGTACCATGGGAAAGAAGCTCTGCCACTACGAGCAGCTAAAGCTGAAGATTAGCAGGGTGAGGAAAGAGACTTCTGACACTGTCACAGGGCTGCTACCCCAGCTACCACCTGTGTGCATGTGGCTGATAGGCTTTTCCCTCCCAAGGATCTAGGCTTGTTTAGAAGATAAACTGATCTTTACTGGGGCTTTCTGACATTCCAATAGTCCATACATTTTCTTAGCCAAACAAAGGAGTCCTCCAAAGATAGAGTCTTAGTAGACAGTGGTGTGTATTTTTATAAAACTTAAGCACACTGACATTTTAAAGGACATATTCACTTAAAACTTAATGACTGAAGAAGATACTGCTTAAAATACACTTTGCACTAAAAAAGGCAGCAACCCAGCCAGTGTGGCTCAGTGGATTATGCGGTGTCCCATGGACTGAGAAGTCTTGGTTCTATTCTCAGTCAGGGCACATGCCCAAGTTGTGGATGTGATCTCCAGTGGGAGTGGGGGTGCATGCAGGAGGCAGCTGATTGATGTTTCTCTCTCACACTGATGTTTCTCTCTCTCACATCCTCTCTAAAAAAAATCAATAAAACATATTAAAAATAAAAAATAAAAAAGGCAGCAAAACCAAATTACTCTTATGCTTACTGGATAAATATTATCCCAGAAAAAGCTAAAATTCTGAATAGAAAAGTGAAAGTTTTCCTAAAATAAACAAAAACGAAAGAGACCCCCTTACAGTTCTACATATAACAAGCCTAGTATTCTCATGAGGTTTTATAATAAAACCAATAAAATGACTAAAGTTCTTGAAATTTTGAAAATTTTTATTCTCTTCCCACTACTTCTACTAACAAGTAACAGAAGACAAAATGAGGAATCCTTAGAAATACATTAGGCACCATCTGTAATCTCTCCAATTTGATGGTGCTATGGGGATGTGCATTCCCCCAAACAAAACCCTCTCTATTCTTTTCCATAAAAAACTTAATCTGTAGTCACAGATGTGCCTTCTCAACTGGGTGCCAGTAGCCCAAGTATCCACATTATAGAACCTAACACTTTGGAACAAATTTGTATCCTCAAACATGACTCCTACATTATCAAGACTCTTGTTCTCCCTCTCTCTTCATGAGTCTAACACCTCAAAGCATACCTTCTGCCTGGATTTCATGACTAGAAAGGCAAAAACACCCCAAAGAGCATCAATGGTAGGAAAACAGGCAAAGTTTAAAACATAAATGAAAAGATTAAAGGAGGAAGAGAAAGGCTGACCTTCATGAATTTGATCAACACATCTCAAGGTTAGGCTGACAGAGGCAGTCAAACCAGAAGGTGGTCAAGATGCTTAAGCAACCTTCTTCATGTCCATTAGATTCACTGCTCAAATCTAGACCAGCTTCCTAAATGTAAAAGTTATGAATATAGAAAAGAAACTGCTGGCCTTAAAATATCACTGATCTAGATAAATTGAGTAAAGATATTAATTTTGCTTTGGCTTTAAATTAACGTAACAATTAGGTATTAAGCAATTTCTAGAATGTAGTGAGAAAAAAAGAAAAAAAAATTGCCCGAGGAACAAACTAACCACTGTTGTAAATACATACACACATTAGGAAGGTTAGAGGTTTAAAGAAAGAGTGACTGGGCTACTTGTATACCCAGCATATCTGTACACAAACTGGGTACCAAAATCTGCCACGTGCAACTAAACCGAGAAACAAGTCACTTACCACTGTCGGAAGAGTCTTCTTTTTTAGAACGCATCTTTCTTTTTCTTCCACGTTTACTCTTCTTTGTTTCTCCTCCATTTTCCCCTTCTACACCATCTGGACCAGCACAATTATCAGCATGTCTTGCCATAGTATTCTAACAAAAGGAACAAGCCCACTTTCACATTACTAAAAAGGTAAAGATCAGCATTTGGAAGTTTTTTTTAATGAAGTTAGTTTAATGAAATAAAAAAATGGGATATCTATATTAAGTCTGAATGTCTGCTAAAGCATATCCTAAACACGCTCTCCTCATTCAGGGGAAATAAACTCCATCTGGAGGAGGAAGAGAGGGAAAGAAAAGAGAGGGAGAGGAAGAGGAGAGTCCTCAAAAGATGAGACTGGGTCTTGTACGCAGAGGGCTCAGCAACCTGCAGGTAAAAAGAGCAGGGGAGGATCAGACCAGCTCCCTGTCCTGTGCGGAAGACCAGAGACAGACCTATTAGGGAGTTCCCCACCAGCAGAAAGGTTCACACATAGATACAACACCTTGAGATGGGCGTGACGGACCCTTTTCAAAGGATAGAACATCTCTCTATTACACCTCAGTAGGAAGAACTGCCCTGCTTTACAGTGGAAGACCAAGAACACGGTATTAGGAACTGTAATAATTTGACTTGGGGAGGTGAACACACACAATACAATATAAAGATGATGTATTATAGAACTGCACACCTGAAACCTATATAATTTTATTAATCGATGTCACCCCAATCAATTAAATTAAATAATTAGTAACCAATTAAACAATAAATTAAAAAATAATGAAGGATGTAAAGCTCTGACTCTTACCCGGCGTGTGAATGTTTTCCCACACTTAGAACAGACAAAGGCTGCAGGGACAAAGTTGGGGTCGTGGTAGCGTTTGAAGTGCATGTCAAGGAGCTGTTTCTGGCGGAAGGTCTTGTCGCAGTGACTGCAGGCATAAGGCTTCTCCCCAGTGTGGGTGCGCTTGTGCATGATCATGTGCCTCTCCTGAAAAGAGAGTGGGGTGAGGGAAGAGACTTCTGAGACTGTCACAGGACTATTACCCCAGCTACCACCTGTGTGCATGTGGCTGATAGGCTTTTTCCTCCTAAGGATCTAGGCTTATTTGGAAGATAAACTGATCTTTACTGGGGTGCAAAACTGCTTCCTTAAATCCCAGGCAGATATGCTCATTCCTGCTAGGCTGATTCTCTACGTCATTCCCAAGCATCAGGCATCAGGACCAGATTCTTCCCTTCTTTCACGTCCTGAGTTTAATCCCCACAGTTCCAAGAAAGGAGTCTGCCAGAGGTAAGGTGGAGTGGGTAAACTGTGACTGAATAAAACATCAACTGGATATTGAGATACAATCAACAGGACCTTTGATGATATTCCTCATAAATCATAGTTTGAAAGTATTATCCTTAAAAATAGCCACCATGGGGTTTACGAGAACCTCCACTGATGAAACTTGACACCGATGAGGCATCAACTGCTTTCTGACCATGAGTCTACCTGTCTGCAAGCGTAATCACACTGGTCACACTTAAAGCGCTTCTCATTCTTGTGTGATTTCTGATGCTGGATGAGGGCATAGCGTTCATGAAACACAGCATCGCAGTATCGGCATTTCTTGCCTTGCTCAATATAGGAATGCTGCTTTCTCAAGTGGACACCTGAAAGCAAAATATAAAGCCCAGTCTAACTTGTGAAAACACAAATAAGCATTTCAACAAGTTAATAATACATTCTTTTCTACTTCTTAAAAATAATTACTCTCATTGTTTTACAGAAAATGAATTAAAAGAAGGAATAACTACAGATGTGGAAAAACCAGTTAAGATGCTGAAATAGGATAGGTAACATAAAATGGTGGCTTGGACAAGGGCAATGAATACAGAAGGAAGAGGGAAAATGGATGAGCAATCTAGGAAGCTAAATCAGCAGGATTTAGTGACTGAGTATAGAGTGCAAAAGAGGAAGGTGGGTGTCAGGGTCAATTGCCTGGTTTTGAGCTTAAAAAACCAAGTAGAGCCCTGGCTGGTTTGGCTCAGCGCTTAGAGCGTCAGCCTGTGGTCCAGAGAGACCTGGGTTCGGTTCCCGCTAAGGGCACGTACCTCCGTTGCAGTTTGTCCCTGGCCCTGGTTGGTCATGTGGGTGGCCACTCGATGTGTCCCTTTCACGTCGATGTTTCTCTCTCTCTCTCTCTCTCTCTCTCTCTCTCTCTCCCCCCCCCCCCCTCCCTCCCCACTCTATCTGAACAAAAAATGAAAAAATGTCCTCACCGAGGATTAAAAACGAAAACAAAAACAAAAAACCCAAGTAGATGGTGGGGCCATTTACTGAGACAAGGAACAGTGGAAGAGGGTAGTCAAGGGGGTTTTAAAGATTCAGTTTTGGACATGTTGAATTTGGAATGCCAACAATATCAAAGAAGGAACAGAGATGGCAAGGTACAGATGGTTATAATTAAGCCTAACTCAAAGGAACATAAATTTAGGAGTTAGAATTTGAGTGAGATCATGGCAGCTGATGAAATCACTAAGCAAAAATTAAAGAATGGAAGAGTGTGGGTCATGTTTTAAGAAATCTAACAGTTAAAGCCAGTGAGAGAAAAAAAGGTTAAAATAAGAGATATCCGAGAAGGAACAGTTGGAGAAATAAGAAAGCCACGCAGTGCCTTTCCCAGGATGCAGTGCCATGGGAGCCAAGGGGAAAAAGTGTTTTGAGGAGGAGGGCAAAAAAGAAAAAAGAAACAAAACAAAAACAATAAAAAAGAAGGGCACAGTCCACTACAAAGAATGGTGCTGAGATCAGCAGAGATGGAAAGAGCAATGTTCCTTACATTCTGCAATGTGGGGTCATTAGTGATCACAGCAAGGTCTCTTTACAGAGTGATAGGATATAAGCCAGATGGATGGAATATTAGGAGCTGCTGAACAGAGAATATGAGGGATGTAACTCTTCATGAGGGTTGGCTAGGAAGGAGATAAAAGTTAAACCTAGAAGGGGAAATTGTTTTTTAAAGACAGGAGAGGAAGCCATGGCTAGTGTGACTTGGTTGGAGCACGTCCCATACACTGAGAGGTAGTGGGTTCAATCACCAGTGAGGTCACACACCCAGGTTGTGGGTTTGACCCCCTCAAGGCATGTACGGAAGGCAACCAATAGATGTTTCTCACATCAATGTCTCTCTCTCTCTCCCTTCCTCTCTTTAAATCAGTAGTAGTAGTAATAATAATAATAATAATAATAATAATAATAATAATGACAGGAGAGGCGTAAGCATGCTTAGAGTTGAGGAGAAAGATCAAATTGAGAAAGTGAAGATGAAGACACAGAGGCAATACTGACAGTATAAAATAAAGGCTGCCAAACATGGCTGGTGTGGCTCAGTGGTTAAGCATCAAACCATGCACCGAAAGGTTGCCGGTTCAATTCCTGGTCAGGGCACAAGCCGAGGTTGTGGACCAAATCCCCCAGCGGAGGGCATGCAGGAGGCGGCCAATCCATGTTCTCTCTCATTGATATTTCTATCTCTCTCCCTCTCCCTTTCTCTCTAAAATCAATAAAGAAAAAATAAAGTAAAATAAAATAATAAAATAAATAAAATAAAGGCTGCCAACACAGAAGAGTAGGATCAAGGTAAATGCAAAAGGATAGGCCACAGACAAGATGGGGAAAGAGGGTGAATATAGACGCAGGTAGGTTTGATAACAGGAAATCTGGAGTTTCAACCTGCTGACTTAATTTTCTTGTTAAGTAGAAAAAGAGGTTACTTATGGAGACCAGGGTGGCAGGAAAAAAAAGGGAAGATGAGAAGTATAAAGAAAATAAGAGTGATTTACCTCCCACACAGCAGGCACCCAGACATCTGTGGAATGAATAGAACTCATGAGGAGAATGGGAGTACTCCTGACAAAGACAAATAGTTGGACTGTCCAGGAGCAATGAGAACCTAGCTGCATTTGGGATCATAAATTTATGGTGCTACCAATCTGATTTAATCAAGGTAATGTATCAAACTTAAAGAGGGCCAACTCTGGGGAATGGAAATGAAGTAAGGGAAGGGATGGCTACACGTGTTCATTATATGAAGGCCTTTTACATACACACGTTTCAAGTAATTTTTTAATCATCCTTACTGGAGGATATTTTTCTATTTATCTTCAGATGGAGTGGGAGGGAATGGGAGGGAGAAAGAGAGAGTGAGAGAAAGGGAGAGAGAGAGGGAGAAAGAGAGAGAAACATCGATGTGAGAGGGACACATTGACTGGTTGTCTCCCAAATGACCCCAACTAGGGCCGGGGACAAACCGCAACTGAGGTACATGCCCTTGACCAGAATCATACCCAGGACTGGTCTTCGGGCTGATGCGCTAACCACTGAGAAACCGGCCAGGGCTATGTTTCAAGTAATTTTTAGGCCTCAACTTTCCCCTTCTCTGGTCCTCTGATAGAGACCTAACAAACAGTAAAAAACTTTCTATCATATATTCTTAATTCTTATTAAAAACTTGTAATAACAGTCCTGGAATATAGGTATTATTCCTATATATCAGTTGAGGGGGAAAAAAAAAAGGCTCACAGGAATAAGCATTTGGAAGTGAATCTTGACTCTAAGTAGGTCTGTCTCCAAAGCCCATGTTTTCCTGTGTCACAAAGTGAAGAATTTTATTTACTGCATATTATAATGAAATCAGGCCTGGCCCTGGCCAGTTTGGCTCAGTGGTTAGAGCCATCAGCCTGCAGTCCAGAGAGAACTGGGTTTGGTTCCCACTAGGGGCACATATCTCGGTTGCAGTTTGTCCCCGGTCCTAGATGGGTCATGTGGGTGGCGACCACTCGATGTGTCCCTTTCACGTCGATGTTTCTCTCTCTCTCTCTCTCTTCCTCTCTCTCCCTCCCACTCTATCTGAACAAAAAAAGAGAGAAAACACAAATTTCTTTGGGATTGGTTTTGGAGATAAACTTGAATATCCAGACAGTGCCTAACAGCTCACACAAATTGCCATGAGATATTACTGGTTTAGATTTTAGTTTCTACATGATGAGAACAGTAAAACTTTCCTTTATCAAAGGACAGTGCCTTTAAATCTATGTTCCTAATGTGACCTGGGTACTTATATATTCCCCCCAACACAAGAAACAATTTGAGAGGACTCAAGTCCAGTTTTGCTACTCATAAGCTGTGTTGTGTAGCTTTTGGTCATGACACCTGTTTGAGCCTTGGGGTTCATCACATGTAAAGCTAGAATACATGCCTTGATGACTTAATATGGTTGTTGTGAAGATCAAAAGAGTAAAAAAGTAAAATTCACTACTTGACAGCTCATAGGCAATTTGTAAAGTACAGTAATTTATCTAAATGTCAAAATGTTTATAAGAATTATTCTCAAGGACAGAGAACAGACTAGGGCAGTATTTTTTCAAAATCATTTTTTTTTTTTAAATAAGAAAAACATATGGAGAAATCTAAGTGACCATATCTTTAAGTATATCATACTAAAATTTCTACTGCTAAACTCTGCTTCTATATAAACGTATAATTAGAAAAAAAAAAAAAAAAGTCTGCCCTGGCCGATTTGGCTCAGTGGTTGGAGCATCAATCAGCCTGCGGTCCAGAGGGACCCGGGTTCAGTTCCCGCTAAGGGCGCATACCTCTGTTGCAGTTTGTCCCCGGCCCTGGTTGGACGTGCAGGCGGGAGCCACTCAATATGTCCTTTTCATGTCGTTTCTCTCTCCCCCTCCCTCCCTCCCTCCCTCCCTCCCACTCTGTCTGAGCAAAAAATGGAAAAAGGTCCTCGGGTGAGAATTAAAAAAAAAACAAAAAACGGAAGTGGACTGACCTTAGTTTGCCTCATACTATATGCCACTTGCCTACTTGGGGACTTTAACATTCTGGCTACTAATTAAAGGTGTACTCTGCTTCCTATCATTTCAGTTTCTGTTAATTTACAGATGAGCTATATTCAGGAAAGAATCTTGTGGCCTGACTGCAGTAAGAGAAAGAAGAGATGGGGTAGGGGGGGAGCGCAGCTAAACAACAGCTTTTATTAAGTGGCAGACCATTCACATATACAAACTTACACAAGTCAAATAAAGTTATTTATAATCGTCATGCTTTCACAAATCCTTCAAAATATTTTTTTCTCATTTGCCACTAATTTACTTACCCAAATCACTTTTTCGGGCTATGACAGTGTCACAGTGGGGACAGTGAAATTTGGCCACATTTTCTGTGTGCTTCTGTAAAATGTGCATCTTCATGGTACCACTTTGGGTAAATCGTGCATGACAAATATAACATTCATAAGGTTTTTCCCCTTAAAAGAAAATACAGAATGAATAAATTAGATGAAATGACTAAATACTATTACAGTGATACCTCGGTTCTCGAACATAATTCGTTCCAGGAGGACGGTCGAGAACCAAATTGTTCGAGAACCGAAGCAATGAAACCCAATAGGAAATAATGGAAACTGGATTAATTCGTTCCAAGCCCCAGAAAATGCCTATTTACTGGCCTAATTTGTATATAATATGTAGAAAAACATAAGTCTCAACAAGAAATAAAAGTGTACAGTATGTCTAAGGGTTAAATTCAGTGTAAAGCGTGACTCTCTCCACAAAGTGTGACTCTCTCCACAAAGCGTGACTCTCTCTCTGCACTCACACTGATGACGCAAGCAAGGCGCGCTGGGCCGAATGAACGCCATTCGGCTCAACTCGGCTCATCTCGGAAGTTCGAGTTCCAAATATTTGTTCGGATTCCAAGACAAAAGTTTCTCGAATCTCCTGGTCGAATACCGATTTGGTCGAAATCCGAGGCGTTTGAGAACCGAGGTATCACTGTATTTAGTTGGAGGGTAATTCAGGTGGTAGATAGGCAAAGCCACAAAGAATCTTTAGGTCTTACTCAGGAAGGCCGAGGCTCAGGCCTGGCTCATGCCTATCTTCAGAGATGGCAAACAAGCCCTAAACTGCTGCCGCCACCACCTGCCCAGCTCTGCCACAGAGTCGTACATATTAGAAAGAGAGTAATTCCCACAGCAATGCTTAACTTTGAGGGAGAGCAGACAGGAATGATAGAAGGACCTATAGGTAGATTTTACTTTTAAGAAAAGACAGTCCGTAGGAAAACTGAATGAGCTGGGTTAGGTAGTCTACCCAGACTACTTCTAACAGTAAAAAATTTCCATTCTTCAATGTATATTCAGAACAAGGAATTCAGAAGATATGCCAGAAAAGCACTCATCTATTATATACTTTCATTCCAGCTTCCATTCAGGTAATAATAGGGGCACAGAGTGGTTCACAGGGTGCCATGGGATCCACTGAAAAGCAGTTCATTGATACAACAAGGAGGGAAGAAGTCCTACCTGAATGGGTTCTCATGTGCCTTTTCAGCTTGTATGTATCCCTGCTGGCATAACTGCACAAGCTGCACTGGAACGGACGCTCTCCAGTATGAGAGCGAATGTGACGTTTTAATTTGCTGACCTGAAACATGAAAGCAATCAAGCCTCTTACACTTCAATTAACATAGACTGTAATGTGAGTGCTGTGGATTAGGCACAAAAGTTTAGCTTTTGGGTACTATAGTTCAGAATACAAATAAAGTGTCAAGATAATTTTTTTCTCGTTCTTTGTCATCTTTGTTTCTCAACTCCATACAATCCAAGGGAAGAAGGTAAATAGACAGGGGCATACATGAGTCAAGATTGTTCATTAATAATTTTTAAGCTGGATGATAGGGACATCGGGGTATATCATACAATTCTATCTACTTTTATGTTTGGAGTTTTCCAAAATAGCTTAAAAATAATCCATGTTTTTTCACTGATCAATTTTCTTCTAGATTTTGAATCTGAATTAGTAAGTACATTTTAATTCCCCTCAGCCTTTCTTCCCATCATCATCAGCACTTCCCAGACAGGCCAGGCTTCAGGGGCCTCTCACTCACCTTGCTCACTATTGACTATGCTTTTCATCTTCCATGGGTATCTTTTCAACAAAACGTAACTTTCAAACCTGATTCTAAGAAGTGCTTTGAACACTCACTAGTCTCCTTGTACTCATAAGTTCTACACAGATTTTCACATACTGTAGGTGTTTAACAATGGTCCCAACAGCATTACAGAATAATTGTTTCCAAGATTTGCCTCCTTATCACACATTAAATTCCTATATGCACAAGACTCTATTCTGTCCCAACAAACTATTTCTGCTTCAATATCACACTGTCTTCATTTATTATATGGTTTTACAACATCCAATAGCACAACTCCCTCATTTTTTCCCCAAATTTTTCTTAGTCATTCATATTCACTCTTCAGTTAAAATTTAGAATCAACTTGTGGTGTCTCATTTATTAATGTCCTTCAGAAAAATTAAGTTTTCTTCACATAGGTATCAGATGTTTTTTGTTTTTCAGTTAATCTCTAAATCATTTTACTGCTGCTAGATTCTGAACTTGTTTCCTACTATAGATAATATAAGGCAAGTCACTGATTTCTGTGTATTTACCTTATATCTGGCCACTCAATTGAGCTCTTACTACTCTTGAATTTTCTATGTAAGCAAATATGTCTGAAAGAAATGAGTTTTGTTTTTTCCATTTATCATTCATTTCTAATTTTTTCTATTAGCTAGGATTTCCAATACAATGTTGAAATAACAGTAGGATGGATGTCTTGTTCCAAATTTTAGTGGGAATACTATAGGTTTCTGATATATCCTAATAGTAGACATTTTCTTCTACTAGACAGTAACTGAGTATTGAACTTTAGTTTTTCAATTATCTATAGAAATGAACATATGGTTTTTCTTTAATCACTCAATGTTGTAAACACCAATAAATTCATAATATTGAACTATCCTTGCATTTTATTATTATTTTTTTTGTGTTAATCCTCACCCAAAGATACTCCTCCATTAATTTCCCCACCCCCACCCCCAAAGAGAGTGTAGAAGGGAGGGAGGGAAAGAAACATCAATGTGACAGAGAGAACACTGACTGGCCACCTCATGTATGACCCCAACCGGGGCCAGGGATCGAACTTGCAACCCAGGTACGTGCCCTTGACCAGAACTGAATCTGTGACCCTTTGGTCCTCAGGCTGATGCTCCAACTGCTAAGCCAAACCAGCGAGAGCCACTAGTGCTTTTTTTTCAATTCTCACCCGAGAATATTTTCCGACTGACCTTCAGATAAGAGTTGGGGGCGGGGGGTAAGGGGAAGACATCGACTGGTTACCTCCTGTACAACCCTGACAAGGGCTGGGGACCAAACCACAACCGAGGTACATGCCCTTGACCAGAATCAAACAGGAGACTCTGGTCCAGCCGCTGACGTTTTAACCACTGAGCCAAACTGGCCAGGGCATTAGACTCTTTTTTAATGGGTAAATCTTTCACACTCATTAGATTCCTTTGGTGGTGGAGAGGGGGAGTGGGAATGTTTAATAATCTAGTGAGATTTTTCTGTGTCATCTTAAGTAGGTTTGGGTATTTTATATCCTCATATTGATATCACGGTCTTCTTTATTTTTTAAAATCCTCACCTGAGGATATTTTTCTATTTATCTTCAGATAGAGTGGGAGGAAGAGAGACTGAGAGAAAGCAAGAGATAAACATGGATGTGAGAGGGACAAGTCAACTGGTTGCCTCCTGCACGACTCCGACTAAGGCTTGGACGAACCGCAACCAAGGTAAGTGCCCTTGACCAGAATCAAACCCAAGACTCACTGGTCCGTGGGCCAATGGTCTACTGCTGAGCCAAACTGGCCAGAGTGATATCATTGTCTTCTTAAGACAGTTTCCAACAACAAGCTGAACACTCACTTCTACGCTGGCATAATCGCACATGGAACACTTAAATGGCTTCTCATGGGTATGTTTGTAACGACGATGCCGCACCAATTCTCCACTAGTCACAAAGGCCATATCACAGTCTGGGCACTTATGAGGACGTGTACCTAAGAGAAAAGAGGGAATAGCAGGAAGACAAAATCAAGGGTACAGTTAATGATAGTTTAATTGCTGCATGAGAACGGACCCTGGTTATTTCATTAACTTTGCACTAGCCTGAGAGTGGTTCCAAAAGCTATGAGAGGGACTGGCTGACTTTACAACACTAGCCCCAGAATATTAGAAACATGTGCTAAAACATTTAGTTTCTCTTAATTACCCATTTGAGCTTACCTTTTAAAAAAAATCTGTTTTTATTGATTTTTTTTAGAGCGAGAGGAAGGGAGAAAGAGAGAGAAACATTGATTGGCTGCTTCCTGAATGCACCCTACCAGGGATCAAGACCGCAACCTGGGCATGTGCCCTAACCGGGAATCAAATTGGGACTTCTCAGTCCCAATGGAACGACGCTCAACACACTGAGCCACACTGGCTGGGCCTGAGCCTACCTTTGATACCAAATGCTTTCTTTATTCTTATTTTATGGCTATTCTTTAAAAAAAAATTTTTTTTATCCTCACCTGAGGACATTTTTCCATTTTTTGTTCAGAGAGAGTAGGAGGGAGAGAGAGGAAGAAAAGGAGAGAGAGAAACATTGACGTGAAAGGGACACATCGAGTGGCTGCCACCCGCACAACCCAACCAGTGCTGGGAACAAACTGCAACCGAGGTATGCGCCCTTAGTGGGAACCGAACCTGGGTCTCTCCGGACCGCAGGCCAATGCTCTAACCGCTGAGCCAAACTGGCCAGGGCTTTATGGCTATTCTGATCACTACAAATTAAAAGTTAATAGAAAAACCACTTTGTTTCAACCCTTGCTATAAAAACATAGGACATCTTTTAAACCTCAATGCTGTATCGAGTGCAGGTTACAGAATTAATAGTTATTTGACTCAGGGTCCGTTTGCATGTCAAATCTTACTGTGTTATGATTATACATATAGGATCATTGGGCTGTCCATTTCTGACAGGTTTTCTTTAAAAACAAGAACAAATATAATAGCTTGTTTTCTATATAAATTAATTTTGATAAAGAATTCTAGAGAATTATCAAAGGCTTTACCAAGCAGTACTGAAGTATGCATGGAATGTTAATGAATGTCTGAATTGCTAGAATGATGCCTTAAACTTTCCATTCTGAGATTATGAATTACTTATCTTCCTTGAGGTAAAACAACCAGAAACCATGGTTTTTACAAAGGTAGCATTTCACTGCTATTTCTAATGTTCTTCAGCATAGTGCCTGGCAATTTGGGGGGTCCTTTTTAGTAATTGTTAAAACCTTAGAAACACAATGGTGATGTCTTCAGGAAATATGACAAGTTAACTACCACAGATAATCTTTTTCTGGATCACCATCCTTATAAAACCCAAGTTTTAACTGTTGTTATGTTGTAGTCCCCAACATTCTTATCCAGCACCTGTGTGTGTGTTAAGGTGATTCCTCAGGAGGGTGACTGTCCTGAATGCCCTGCCACAGAGATGGCACTTGTGCGGTCTCTCATCAGTGTGACTTTTCATGTGACGATCCAAATTTGAACGCCGTGGACACGTGTAACTGCAAAGCTCACACTGGAATGTCTTCTTTACACCTATATACAAAATAAAACACGTACTTGTTGTAGGGTTAAAAAGTGTTAGGATTAATCCCAATTTTAAATTTCTACAAATATCCTAATAATTATCTCATGCCACTAATAGAGACTAGCACTCACATCATGATCTTAACAACAACAAAAATCCATTTAATGTAAAATAACCTGCATGTGTACTGTTATATACTTAATTCCAAATTGGCTTTATGAATATAATAGATAAAATCATTTTACCTTTCTTTTTAATTTTTGTTGGTTTTGGAGGCTTCATGTTACCAACCACTTTCTCTGCATTAACCTCTGACAGCAGACCCTCCTGTTGTTCTTCCTCAAAGTCGTAGACAGACACATCCACATCTTTGCCCTCCTCTGTGTAACGGAGTTTGCTCTTTTTGGTTTTCTTTGTTTTTTTGGCTGGTGGCTGATAATCTGGATCTTTTTGCCAACTAGGATCTTCCTGAGGTGGAAGTTCCCCTTGTTCTAGTGTCTCCACCTCTCCATTGGCCCCTACTTTCACAACTTGAAACCCTTCAGGCAAAGGTAAGGTGTGACATATCATGGGTTCGCTTTCTGCAAGGCCCTCTTTAGACACTTCATTCTCATAAGCCCCCTGGAGTTCATCTACTGAAGTGGTAGCAACAGGTACAGTCACAGGAACAGGTACTTCAACAAGCTGAAGCTCTCCTATGTTTATGGGCTGTTCCTCCATATTTACAACCTGCAAGGTTATAATCTGGGTATCGTCCACAGCAGCCTCTGCTTCTGGAGCGACTGTACCCTCCATTACTTCAGTCTTCATCTGAAGAAGGGTAGGATCTAGCTGTTCCATCATGACCATCTGTACACTGCTATTGACATCCTGGACCACCTCACCCCCATCAGTCTGATTCTGGGGTAGGTGGCAAGCGTCCTCTTCCTGGCCCCCTTCCCGGCGTCTCTGGTAAGTCTTTCTCTCCTTTCCTTTAATGAAAGTTTCAGACTCCTCCACAATGGCTTCAACCGCCTCACCTTCCATTTCCCCTTCCTTTATTAAGGAAGAACACATATTGTTATTTACTATTTAAAATAAAGTCTGTCTAAATAAAAATACATACATTAAAAAAAAAAAAAAAAAAAGGTCCCCAAGCAATGAATGAGGCATCAATGGTTGTTAATATTACAAAAAAGATAAAACACACATTATGCACCTCCTGACAGAAGGGCAAAACACTACCCATGAAGCAATTTTGTCAAACAAAACAAAAAATTCTGAAACTAATATAGCCTCTAGATTCAACTACCAATTAATAGGAAAATGGTGAGCGAGGATGTTAAATTACACTACAGAGATGAAATCAGTGAAATACAGACTGAAGGAAACTCTGCAGGATTAACTATCCAATTTCTTTTGCAAATAAATCACCAGGAGAAAAAAAATGGGAAGAATAGAAGGAGAACCTACAGATCAGTGGTTCTCAACATAGTATGACTTTGCCTCCAGGGAACATTTGGCAAGGCGTGAAGACATTTTTAGTGGTCACTTCTGGAGTGGGTGTGCTACTAGCATCCAGTGGGTCGAGGCCAGAGATATTACTAAACATCTTGCTATAGGCACAAGTCAGTCCTTCACAACAAAGAATTACTGGGACCCAAATATCAATAGTGCTGAGGCTGAGAAACCCTGATACAGACAAAAGACTTAAAAGATGCAGCAATGAATCACAGTATATGGATTTTCTTTGGACCCTGATTCAAACCAACAAATGGTTAAAAAATATATACCACGAGACAAATTCAACTCTGGATAGTTTATATTAAAGAATTATTAACAAAGCCAGTTTAAATCTTATATATTTCCTATAACTACTTATGATAACTGGCAGAGGGCTTTGCTGTTTTTAATTTTTTTTCTTTTTTTAAAAATTGATATTAAAGAGAAAGAGAGGAAGGGAGAGGAAGACAGAGACAGAAACAATGATGAGAGAGAACACTGACTGACCACGTCCTACATGCCCTATGATCAGGAATCGAACCAGCAACCTCTCTCTTGGTGCATGGGTTGATGCTCAACCACTGAGCCACACCAGCTGAGCATTGCTGTTTTTAGCTAAATTCTACCTTATAAAACATGCCCTATTGGTGTTTTTTCATATTTTGGGGTGGGGGGTGGGGGTGGCAAAATCAGAACTTGGATACAGATTCCAATGGCCCTGCTTGTAGCTACTACCAATAACATCTCTTGTGTCACACCAATAAGTATTCATGTATCTTTCTCCTCTATGAGACCATAAGTTCCTTGAGGACAGGGACCATGTATAACAACTAGTTTTTACTCTTTAGCACTGTGCCTAGGTTGGTTAGTACTTGATAAATGCGAACTGAATATATAATAAAACTAGAAGAAGAAAAAAAATCAGCCAATTCATAGCTTCTGGCTCCTAAGGTTCATGAGTACTGAGTACCCAGATACATAAGAGTAAAATTAGTCTGAACAATCATCTAACTGATAGCAACATGACTTAAAATCTGCAAGTATATACAAGACTGATTCAAAATTAAAATTTAAAGTGTTTTGCATTCTTGCCCTAGTCTCAAATAAAGCTTTTGCTACTTCTATTAGAGACATGTTTCTTTAATTCTGTCCTGGCACCTTAACGCTGTATCCATGCGAACAGTCAGAGAAGGTTCTTAAGCCAGGAGGATTACTTGCAAGGCAGTACAAACACTATAGAAAGATGGGCAAGGCCTGGTTCTGCATTCTAAGTATTACTGTCTAATATAAGGGCAGAACAGGTACAATGGTTCTAGGTAAAAGTAGGTAGGTTTGGTCAGGCTGGTGTGGCTCAGTGGATTGAGCATCGTCCCAAGGACTGAGAGGTCCTGGTTTGATTCCTGGTCAGGGCACATGCCTGAGTTGCGGGCTCGATTCCCAGGGTACAATGGTTCTAGGTAAAAGTAGGTAGGTTTGGTCAGGCTGGTGTGGCTCAGTGGATTGAGCATCGTCCCAAGGACTGAGAGGTCCTGGTTTGATTCCTGGTCAGGGCACATGCCTGAGTTGCGGGCTCGATTCCCAGTAGGCAGTGGATTGATGTTTGTCTCTCTCACAGATGTTTCTATATTTCCCTTCCTCTCTCTCTAAATAAAAGTCAACAAAAACATTAAAAAAAAAAAAAAAGTAGGTGTGAGATCAAGATGATTCATAAATGTGGAATCTGAATGGAACCCCGAAATGGGGCAGGACATATAGAGGCAGAGTGGTGTGTGTATGTTGCAGGGGAAGGGGTAGTATCCTTATATAGAATAAATATATGAGGGAACTGGTTTTGAGAAAAAAATAACAGTTGGCTTAAAGCATAGGGCAGAGGAAAGGATAGAAAGAGACAGGAGAAAGCTATGTTGGTGGTAGCCATCCATTGGATGGTCTTGCTTGACAAAATAAGACTATATATATATGGGCAGCACTGGGAAACCACCTATCCTTTCTGGGCAGAGGAATTTAAGATTTACTAGGTTCACTAAAACAGTGCTTGATTTCTACAACAAAGTGTGTCTCTTTATTGGCAAAAGGGAGAGATGCATGGCTTTCAAAGCCTCTCATTATCTAACCCCAGATAACCTATTCAGATTTATGCCTCTTTGCTCTTTAGCCATTACTTTTCTCTGAATGTGTCTGCTGATAAAATAACCACACTATTTTGCACTTAAATTTTTCTCAAAATGCTCCATTTCCCCCAGCTGGCTTGTGAAATCTCTTAGAGGGCAAAAGCCAGACTTGAAGCAACCTACATTTTTTTTTATAGATTCAGCAAACTCCACCATCTGCATGGAACAAAACCAAGGCTGATGGAAAACCTCGTGGGTTGCTGGTTGTCAGACAGATTTGTTCTGCCATTACCTACTTTCTTTTTTTTTTAATTCTCACCCAAGGACATGTTTGCATTCATCTTTAGATAGAGCAGGCGGGAGAGAGGCAAAAGAGAGAGAGAAACATCGATGTGAGAGAGACATATGAAGTGGTTGGCACCCACACAACCCCTACCAGGGCGGGAACAAACTGCAACCAAGGTATGTGCCCTTAGTGGGAACCGAACCTGGGACTCTCTGGTCCGCAGGCCAATGTTCTAACCGTTGAGCCAAACCGGCCAGGGCTCATTACCTGCTTTCATTAGTCCCTTGTTCTCAACAATGAAGAGAAAAATACTACAATGCTCAATGCAAAGACCTCTTGCTAGCTGTTCCATTATAAGTGGGGAACAAATGTAAGAAAATGTGCATATATGCACAACCAACTGACACAGACACTAGGCTGGGGAAGGCAGGAGGGGATGAAAATGGGATGAAGAAGGGGTCAATGGGGAAAGGGGGGGACATCTGCAAAACTTTCAACAATAAAATAAATAATTTTAAAAAATGTTACTGCAAAAGGTGAGGATCAAGAGACATTTGTAGAATGCTTTATAACTTGCCTATAAATAAAATACGTCTTGAGTATCAACGTCCCAGCATTATTACAAGGTCTCATTTACATTTCTGATCTTAAAAGACTACTTTAAGCATGATCCTAACTATAATTTCTTTTATATAACCAATATTGTAGAGATGGATTATTCTTGGGACAGGAATGAATGCTCTATACTAGAAATACAATGGAAGCCACAAATGTGAGTCATATAGGTGTAATTTTCTAGTTGTCATATTGAAAAAGTAATAAGAAACAAGGTTAAATTAATTTTAGTAATCTATTTTATTTACGCCAGTATATCCCAAACATTATCATTTCAAGATATAACCAAAAAAAATCGAGATATTTTATATTCATTTTTTCATAATAAACCTTTAAAATCTGGTATATATTTTACATTTATAGTATAACCCAATTTTAACTAGTCACACTGTAGGTTCTCAATAGCCACATGTGGCTAGGGGCTATACTATAATGCGTGGCACAACTTTATACCTTTGCTGCTCCAGCAGCACTGGCGTAACCCTGGAATGCATTAGAAACACAAAACTTTAGGCCTCACCTTTGAACCTCAGAACCAGAATCTGCAATTTAATAGATCCCCAAGTGGTTTCATATATTCAGGTTTAAGAAGCACTAATTTGCACTGGCTGGTTTGGCTCAGCAGTTAGAGCATCGGCCTGCGGTCCAGAGAGACCTGGGGTTCGATTCCTGTTAAGGGCATGTACCTGGGTTGCAGTTTGTCCCCGGCCCTGGTTGGGTCATGTGCATGGCAACCACTTGATGTGTCCCTCTCACGTTGATGTTTCTCTCTCTTTCTCTCCCCCTTCCACTCTATCTGAACAAAAAACAGGAAAAATGTCCTCGGGTGAGGATAAAAAATAAAAGCACTAATTTATGGCCTACACACTGGAGGGTCCTGGGTTTGATTCCCAGCCCGTTAGGGCTCATGAGGGAGGCAACCAGTTGATGTATCTCTCTCACATGGATGTTTCTCTTTCTCCCCCCCATTTCACTCTCTCTAAAAATCAATGGAAAAAAAATATCCTAAAGTGAGGAGTAACAATAAAAAAGCAGCACCACTTTATACTATTACTTTTCACACATTAAAAACAAATACTTTCCGCCCAGCCAGTGTGGCTCAGTGGTTGAGCATCGACCTATGTACCAAGGGGTCGCCGATTGGGGCACATGCCCAGGTTGTGGGCCAAATCCCCAATGGGGGTCATGCAGGAGGCAGCCAATCAATGTTCTCTCTCACTAATGTTTCTCTCTCTCTCTCTCCGAAACAAACAAACAAAAATCAATAAAACATTAAAACAAAAACCTGAAAACAAAAACCAAAAAACTTTCTCACCCTGGCCAGTTTGGCTCAGAGGTTAGAGCTTCGGCCTGAGGACCAAAGAGTCTCGGAGTCTCGGGTTCAGTTCTATCAAGGGCATCTACCTCATTGGCAGTTTGGTCCCCGGCACCGAGAGGGGTTGTATGGGAGGTAACCAATTAATGTGTCTCTCTCATGTTGATGTTTCTCTCTCTTTCTCTTCCTCACTCCTACTCTATCTAAAGATAATGAAAACAAAACA